CGCAAAGCGCCGAAACCCGGAAGTAACCTGTTCCGGTACTTCCGGGTTCAGCGCGGTGCACAACCCGAAAACGCACAACCTGAAGCGTCTGTAACCCGAGGTATGACTGTAATCCCACTGTTCCTCAAATCTAATGCTCACCTTTTTCGGCCAAATTACATTGCAGAAATTGAAGTGTGCATTAGATTCGTTGAGAAGTATATTGAGAAGCAAAGCAGCTAGTAAGTCTGATCTTTATTAAAGGAACTGTTGCAACAGGGTTCCCACTCACCACACACAGGAGGGAGGAGAACCCTGAACAATGGTGCGCAAGCCCTTATATAGACTTCTGAAATTGCCCACCCTGTAACCCAAGACCCCCCCCAAAAAAACCCCACATCCTACATACATCACAGAAGGAGGCAGTCTACAGCAGAAATTCAGTCTGCCAGGATACCTGATAATGGTCACTGATTGCACTACCTGGGCAGTCAGGCCATTCTTTTGTGATGGTTGATACTTTTGTTCCTGAATCCAGGTCACAGGCTCACCCTAATCAGAATAAGGTCCATTATCTGACTGTTGACTCAGGATCATAAACTGTGCTTTTATATTTAATTTTCACTTTCTTCTGTGCATATTGTAATGTTCTTTTGCTGCTGTGGCAATTGGCTGAGGCGAATAAAGTTTCTATTCTATATTCTATTCTATTCTATTCTATTCTATTCTATTCTATTCATACACAAATACACCCTTATTAAGACAGGATTTGCAAGCAAAAAGACAATGGCAAGGATTTCACCATTTGCCTCCGTTACTGCAGAGGAATATTTGAGATGTTTTGGGACTACAACTCCCACCATCCCTAGCTAACGGGACCAGTGGTCAGGGATGATGAGAATTGTAGTCCCAAAACATCTGGAGGGCCGAATTTGCCTAAGCCTGGAGTATAACTTAGTTGAATACAACCCACAATTTCTTAATGTGCATCTATCTATCTATCTATCTATCTATCTATCTATCTATCTTAGCCAGTGCTTTTTTTCTAGAAAAATAGGTGCCAGTACTCACCACGAAGTTGTTACAGTAAGCACAGTAAGCACTGATCTTACCATATGTACATTTTATGCATACTGATGTCTTCTTTTGTCATCTTTCTTTTGGTGATGCATTACTTCCTTTCTGGCAATGCATAACCGGCAATCTCATCTCCCCAGTTCCTATCCAAACTTCTATCCAGTGCAGCCTATCAGTTCTCTTGATCCCTGAGAACCCCACATGCTTTAAAGCTGCCCTTATTTACAGGTTAGTTAACCTTTAGAAGATGCTTCCATGCTCAATTGGCTCCATCAGCATCATATCAGAGGTATTTTGAGCAAGCTGCGGGAGGCAGTGGGAGACAGAAGTGCCTGGCGTGCTCTGGTCCATGGGGTCACGAAGAGTCGGACACGACTAAACAACAACAATCAGAGGTATATGAAACTTAGGCCTCTGTCTAGATCACATATCCAAGCTAACACATTTGGAGCCTGATAAACATGCTTTCAATACAAAGATAGCTGACATGTTTCTAAATACTGTTGTCAGCGTTACTATCCTCCCATTTTATACTGCAATTACATCTCAAGTAGTGAAGCTGGAAGCACAGATGGTGAGTAGGTAACTGCTATACAGGGCATATATTAGGGAATGATTGCTTCAAAAGTTTAAATCAGCATGCCAACAGTGTCAAACTTAATAAATCTCACGGATTCTATAATGCCTGTTCTGCTGCAGGATTTGACTAAAGGGCTCTCCTTTTCACATAAGAATGCATACATTTTCTTGGGTGAAAAGTTCCTACCATGCTGCCAACTCTGAGGGTCTCTAGAAAACCTATGTTTGCCAGGCTGTTATCTAACGTTGATGTAATTAGCTATTTTTGTTACATGATTACACTGAAATTAAGAATCTAATTCTGTTAACCATATTGTGCTTCTTAACAGTGCCCTTTTTTATAAGGAGGATGTTGCTTTAAAGGCCAAACAAATTTGTCTTTGTAAAGGCAGCGAATCCACTTATTGTAGCATATTGGTTTCAAAAGAATTCTGAATCACCTGCACTCTTGCGTAATCTGGAAGTTATGCATCATCAGCCCCCACACCATTTTCTACTGGGGTTATTTCACTAAAAATAGGTGTGGGTTATGGGATACAGAATTCGTTTGCTGGAAAATAGACATTAAAACTAGCAATGGCTCTGTGTAACGGTTTATTCATACGAGGCCTAATCACTCGTATGAGTGAGATTTATTAACCACTAAAATGGTCCTACTTTAGCATTATTTGTTTATTTATTTTATTCATGCATTGCACTTATATTCCACCTTTCTCCAAGGAGCTTTAAGTGGCGTACATGGTTCTCTTCCTCCTCATTTCATCCTCACAGCAAGCCTACAATATATCATGAGAGAGACTGTGCCTGGCCCAAGGTCATCCAACACATTTCATGGATGAGCATGGATTTGAACCCTGGTATCCCAGGTCCTACAGGGATGCGGGTGGCGCTGTGGGTTAAACCACAGTGCCTAGGACTTGCCGATCAGAAGGTCGGCGGTTCGAATCCCCGTGACGGGGTGAGCTCCCGTTGCTCGGTCCCTGCTCCTGCCAACCTATCAGTTCGAAAGCACGTCAAAGTGCAAGTAGATAAATAGGTACCGCTCCAGCGGGAAGGTAAACAGCATTTCCATGTGCTGCTCTGGTTCGCCAGAAGCAGCTTAGTCTGGGCCACATGACCCGGAAGCTGTACGCTGGCTCCCTCGGCCAATAAAGCGAGATGAGCACTGCAACCCGAGAGTCGGTCACGACTGGACCTAATGGTCAGGTGTCCCTTTACCTTTACCTATTCCAGGTCCTAGTCCAGCACTCCAACCACTACACCACACCAGCTCTCCAAATCACTATAACTACAAATTCATGGAGCGTAAGTTCATCAGTGGCTACTGGGAGGCTATATGCTTCCTCGTAGATTGGCTCTGAATACTAGTTGCTGGGAAACAACAGCAGGAGAGTGCTCTCATCTTTTAATACCCTGCTTTTAATACCCTGCTTGTGGGCTTCTCGTAGGCATCTGATTGGCTGCTGTGGAAAACAGGAAGCTGGAATAGGTAGGCTTTTGGGCTGATCCAACGGAGGCCAATGGGAGTTGCGGTCCAAAACCAAGTTGAGGAAGGCTGGTCTAGAGCAAACTGAGTTATATGCAGTTATGCTTACTTAGAAAATTTATCTGACTCGGCAACTATTTTTGCATTAACAGAATTCTGATTTTAATAGTTTTAACTGTTTTCTGGGGATGGGGGTTTGTTGTCTTGAGTTACTTGTACGACGCTTGGAGACAATGCTAATGAAACAGTATAGAAACTGTCAAATAAGATCCTAGTGATCAGCCATTTCCAATTTGTACTTTGGTAGTGTCATGTTTTGTATGGGTTAAAGGTGTAGGTAATGCATCCTTTCCTAACCTAGTGGCCTCCAGACATTGTTGGACTGCGATTCCCATCATCCCTGACCATGGTTAGCTAGGGATGATGGGAGTTGTAGTCCCAAAACAGCTGGAGGGCCAAGTTGGGCCATCACTGATCTAGTTCAAAGGTTGGGGGAAGCTGATGTAGTGGTGTTTCCCACCTAACTAATGAGAGAACAGGTTGTGAGCACGAAGAGGAAGAAACACGGAAAATCTGGAAGAGGTGGGAACTGGGCCTGTTGGTAATGGCAGGACCTGAGGAAAGAGACATAAAATGCACATTAGAAGAGCTTGCTTGATCAGGCCATTGGCTCATCTAGTCCAGCATCCAGTTCTCAAAGTGCCCAACCACATGCCTGCGGGAAACCCTCAGGCACGACCCAAGTCCTCTCCACTCCTGTGGTTTCCAGCAACTGGTATTCAAAAGCATTACTGCCTCCAGCCATGGAGGCAGAACATCACCATCATGGCTAGCAGCCACAGATAACTTTATAAGCCATAAGGAAGTACTGTACAAAACAATTCCACCTGTGTCAGGTGTGGTTTGAACTAGGGACTCGCTGACTCACAGCTCACACTCTGAACTACTGCATGACATCACCTGTAAAGACGAATCTGTTGTACACCACAAACCACTTGCTATGTCAAGGTAATATTAACCACAAAGATACTCAGCAGTGGCCATTCCTAACGAGGAGGTCATGTTGAGTAACCTGCTCTGCTTGTACCAGCATGTTGTTATTATCACAGGACTGAGGTGCAGAATTGGGTGGAACGAGTTAGAGGATTTACTACGTCATTATCAATCACACCTTCAGTTAATTCAATATTCAGAAAACCTTTGGTGGAAGAGATCTAAGAAGTGCAGACCAATCCAGATTATATTTAACAATGATGGTTTTACTATGAGGTTTTACTATGGTTTTACTATAGGTTTTTTACTTTAATGAAGGTTTTACTATGAGGTTTTACTATGGTTTTACTATAGGGCTGGAGATTTCTGAAGGGTGAACACAGTCTTGGGGCCAAGTTTATCTCCAGATTTGAACCCTTTATTTGGGAAGAGCAATCTGACTCCCTCACAAAGATAAGCAGGTGTGGGTCTCATCAGTGGGGCGTCGAAAGGGTGTGTGTGTAAATATTTTAAAAAGAAAGAAAAATATTGCCGGTCAAAGAATGCGGCTTCTTAAAGGTGCCCGAACTGCAGCACCCTTTTATTTTATTTTTTTAGCATATCACGCACCGCTGTGGCGGCTCCATCTCCTCTCTCAAAACCCACCCCATCCCTGCAGTCGCCACGATTGGCGGAACTGGCTGCCAATCACGGAACTAACGTCCTCGGCATATAACACACGGTGCAGCACACCTTCGCGAATATATTTTTTTTAGATAAATGTAAAGGAGAGGCTTCATTGGTCGCTCCGCCTGCCAATTCCGGACCAAGCCCGCCCTTTGACTCCTGCGAATCCGATTGGCCGAGCCCATCGAGCCGGCTCGAGCCGACCCCGTCATCGCCGCCTCCTCCTCGGGAGCGGACCTGGCGCCGGTTGGCGCAGAGGCGTGCCAATCTCCTCCGGCGCCCCGCCCCGCCCTCTCAGGTAGCCCGGAAGATGGCGGCGGCGAGAGGCGCTGTCGCCGCTGGTGTCGCCGGTGCGGACGGCTGGGCTGCGTGAGGCGAGCGGGAACATTCCTCCCCCCGCTCCTGCTGCTGCTTCCGCTTCTTTATCGCTGTTTCGGCGGGAACCGATGCCGGGGCCGGCCTTGCCGCGAGGGCTGAGGGGAGACGCGGAGGGCGCCAGCAGGCCTGGCGGCGGGCGGCGCTGAGGGCGCGATGCGGGGCAGGCGCCGGCGGCGGTTCCGGGGGGCCAGCGGGCGGCTGGGCCGGCCTCTGCCCCCCTGGCTCGGCCTCTTCTTCTGCTGCTTCCTGTCGGCGTTGCTGGGAGGCGGCGAGGCGGCTCCTCTTCCGCAAGCAGGTGAGAGAGAGACCCGGGAAGCGGGCGAGGGGGTCGGATCCTGTTCGAGGGGCAGACCTATGGAACTCAGTGGCAGGTCAGGAGAGGAGACAGGCGACCCCTCTGGGTTGGGCCCATGTTTTGGGTAGACCCACTGACGTTACTTAAAGCCTTCAGTTCAGCGGGGGCAACCTTTACGGTTGGGCCCAGACGCCCCCCATATTTAAAGTAGGCCAATTGCTGTCCGTGGGGCTTGAGCTACTAAAGTCAAGAAGGAACATAGGAAAGGTAAGGGGGTGGGGAGACAGAGAGGCAGCCTCTGGGCTGCCCCCCCCCCACCTCACTTAGTTTTAGGGTAGACCCTCTGACATCAGTGAGGATTCAGCTGTTAAGCTGCTGCCCCACTGAAAACAATGGGGCTAAGCCAGCCTTTAAGTCCAGCTGAATCTGGCTCCAGTTCTCTCTGTGTTAAAAATGATACATCATAAGATGAAACCCAGGTGATTGTGGATGTGATGCGGTGGGGTGCCTGGTGGCACTTTAAATGCTAATTGTTAGTAGCAGATTTTTCTTTCCTTTTTGGTGGCCTGGAGGCCTTGTAGCTGTGTGTGTGTTTTATATATTTATCCTCTTTCTCCTGCCATTAAGGAGCTCAGGGCAGCTGACATGGTCTTCTCTTTCCTCTTCAATTTTATCTCAACAAGAACCTTCTGAGATAGGCTAGGCTGGTCCAAGGTTACCCCACATAGTTAAGCAGTTTTAAACTCTGGAGCTGATGGCCCTATTGGGAAGGGGTGTGTGTCCCTCTTTAGATGGTATTGCATTACTTCAATCACTTCGGGATAAGATAACCTACCCCTCTTGCATCAGGGGGCCCTTCTGCTCACTTCTGCCCCCAATCTTGCCATGGTAGCACTGGCAGTGACTGTTGTGACTGAATGGAAATGTGAACTTGTGTCTTCTCAGGCCTAGTCCAACACTTACAATGGCACTGTGTATGTCATTATTAATGTTTATACCTCATGATATTGTACCGTATAACATTATTATTATACCTCAGTATCATCGTTTATACATAGATGATGTGCATAAGTCCCTGCTTCGCAATAGGGAAACAGGGGGAGAGAAGAATGTTGGAAATGCTATGTCTCTGTACACACTTCTGTATCTCTCACAATTGCAATTGCACACAGGCATAAAGAAAAAATGAGGTAAAAGGAAGGCTATGTTGTCAACTGTTACTGTTAAGAATGACCACTGTTCTTATTTCATATGCAAACTTAGATCTTGTGTAGAAGTTTCACAGACCTAATATGCCTCTTGCATTTAATGGTTGTATGGCCTCATTTACATTTTCTCTTGTATCTTCGTGTTTGGTATATAAATAACAGACAACCATTCCTCTGGAGTGAAAGTTCATGAAAACTGCTGCAGTAAATCTTTTACAGATGCAATAAGGCTCTTTGCCCATCATGTATGTAAAAGATTCCCATATATGTGACCAACAGTATTCATAGATGACCAGGATCGATTTCCTTTTTGTATACATAAGGATTTCTCTTTTGTTGGGCAAAATTTCCCTGTGCTCGTTCTGACTGTATACATGTGTCTAATAGCGTAGTTAAAGATGAGCTATAATGGCTCAGACCAAGAGTCCTTTTAATCCTTCAAATAAAGCCCACAAGGTGGGCATAAAGACACAATCCTTCCCTCACTGTTTGTTCCCTGCAACCGTCATTTAGTGCCATATAACCTCTGAACCTGCTGATAAGACCTATCCTTCATGAATTTATCTAATCTTTCAAAAGCCATTTTAAAGCCATCCTCCGGAGCAGCCACTGGCCATTGCCACATCTCATGGATATATCTTCTTCAGTGAAATTACACATTGTAAAGGAGTAATTTCCAGAGGTGTTTCAAATGCCAGTCTCTCCAAGGGGAAGAACTGCTTTACAGATAAGTAAGGCAGTTGAATCTGTTTTGCCCTTTTGACAGAGTAATCTTCTGTCATGCCTATAGCTGTATATCTTCGACATTATAATTGGTCTGAAACACAGTTGAAATTAAATATACATTTCTGCAAGTATGTATGGCATTTCCCCTACAGTTTTCCCCAAGCTATTGGATCTTTTGTTGTTGTTGCTTCCAGCAAAAGTCATTCCATGCTTACATCGAGGTTATTGGAATGAAGTTTATGGAGAAAGAATGCAACACAGGCACAAAACATTTTATTGGTGTAAAAAATGTGACCACAGGTCAACAGCAGCTATTCACTCTGCTAGACAGGATGGGTATCTATCAGTTTGAGATTAGCAGCACCCAGATGTGTTTCAGGGGTTTGTGTGTAGGCAAGAGAGAAGGGAAGCATGAAGCACGGTGGCAGGGCGGTAGCTTTCACTTGGAGCCTCTTGTGTCCACAAGGAAACAGGAAGTGCAGTTACCTTGAAACTGACAAACCTGAGCTGCTACTTGTTTGTTGCCTGAGAAATTTATTTCAGTTTTAAAGTATAATTTCCTTCTAACAAATTTTCCCTTAACTCTGTGGAGACTGGACTTTTAGGGGGAATTGAGAACTGCCCCACCAACCCCAGTTTACTGTCAGCCAGCCCCTACCTGCCTGCCTGCCTTACTTACACAGAGGGGCCTTTACTGAAAACGTCGTCCTCCTTAGTTTCAGTGTTCCCTTGCAGAACTCAGAAAAGAGGTGGGGGACAAAAGTAGCATTAGTTGGCTCTGCCTGTCATGGGTTTTAGTCCCACCTACTATTCAGGCTCCCTGCCTTCACTCCTACTGGTCCCAATGACACCAACCACCACTGCCTACGATAAAGCTCCAGTTCTATGCAAACATAATTGGGAAGTGGGAGTAAGCCCTATTTAACACAGTGGACCTTGCTTCCAAGTATACATGCATTGAACTGAGCTGCTGGTTTACAAATGCTAACTGTGTCACACTTGAGTAATTTAAGCTGTAAGAATTGCCTCTCTCCTGGTTCGGTGCTATGGTGATCAGATGCGAGGGAGAACAATGCCCCAGACCCTTAATAGATATTTAATTGAGGGATTTTCAGCAGGTATAGTTTCTCTTACTTCTGTTTGGCAGTTTCCCCAGCTGGTTTAGCTTGTTGTATGTGAAGTTGTACCTCTTGAACTTCCCTCTGGTATGCCACTATTACAGGCAGAGAAGCCTTGTTCTTTTTATCTGGTCTGCTAGAAATAGTGCCTCCAGTCACCGAAGTGAACTACATTCTCAATTCCAAATGCTAGGGAAAGTCCATTCTGCTACCAGGTGATCAAAGGGCACTTTCACATGACACAGAAAATCACCTTTGAGCCTTCTGTGTGTGCATATATATTCTGTAATGTGGAACAGAAATAAGAAGAGCTGTGTTAAAACCAAATGGTGGTGGGGAGGGTGTCTGCACTGTAGGAAATACTTTAAAAAAAATTGTGTTGGGCATGGGACTCCCCCATGTTTTATTAAGGGGCAATGATCCTGAGAGTGTTCCCAGGAGGGTGTGGTTATGGAGAGCACAGGTGGTAGAATTGTTGTGAAGAACTGTGGAAATACAAGGAAGGAATAGGTGAAGTAGCAGTACTGCAACTAAGCTTGTGCAGAATGCACAGCAAACATCTGAATTAGGAGGCAGAGCCTTCAGATCAAATGTAAGGCTTCTAGGCAGGTTTGAATCCCATCATGGAAGTGCTAAGAGTGAAAAAAGTACTGTATATAGTCAGATCTTTGCCCACCTAGCTCTATATTGTTCATTGGTTGGTGTGGATCTCCAGGGGTTTCACATAGGAGTCTTTACCTGTCCTACCTTGAGGTGTCAGGAATCTAACCTGGAACTCATAGAATCATAGAACTGTAGAGTTGGAAGGGACCCTGAGGATCATCCCTGCAATGCAGTAATATGCAGCTGTCCCATACGGGAATCGAACCTGTAACCTTGGAATTATCAGAACCATGCTCTAACCAACAGCTTCACATGCAAAGCATGTGCTGTACCACTGAAGTATATCCCTTCTCTGATATGATTACATAGATGAAGAATCAATGGAATAGCTGTGCACAGGCTTCTTTTACAGTGGAGGTAGCTAACATGGTGCTCTCCCAGTGTTGTTGGGCCCCAGCTCCCATCAAGCCCCAGCCAGAATGGTCAACGATACCTGGAGAACACTACTTTGGCAGCTACTGCCTTACAAAATGGGACTGTGGTGTGGCTGGACACAAAGTAATGTAAACTTCAGCTGGTAGGATGCTGTGTTTTGTAAGAAAGGGACTATATGTCCAGAAGCAGTAATCATCATTATTTCTTTCCCAGGTATTTTCTCAGCTGAACTCACTTATGCACTCAGAATTGCTCTGTTGTCTAAGGCAGTGTTTCCCAACCTTTTTTGGGCAAAGGCACACTTGTTTCATGAAAAAAATCTCAAGGCACACCACCATTAGAAAATGTTTAAAAAATTAACTCTGTGCCTATATTGACTACCCTATTTTTTGCCCTATAGGACGCACCGGCCCATAGGACGTACCTAGATTTTGGGGGGGAAATAAAGGGGAAAAAATTATTTCCCCCCCCCCCAGACGCGGGGCTGGGGCGGGAGAAGCCCGAGCTTCCCCCGACCCCAGCCCCCAGAATGGGAGCCAGAGTGGCTCCCGGAGCTTGCGGGACTGGGGGTGGGGGAAGCCCGAGCTTCCCCCGCCTCCAGCCCCCAGAAAGGGTCCGAGAGCGATGGCAAAGGTGAGCGCACCTTCGCCATCACTCCCAGAGCTTGCGGGGCTGGAGGTGGGGGAAGCCAGAGCTTCCCCCACCCCCAGCCCCCAGAAAGGGTCCGAGAGCGATGGCGAAGGTGAGCGCACCTTTGCCATTGCTCCCGGAGCTTGCAGGAGCTGGGGGCGGGGGAAGCCGGAGCTTCCCCCGCCCCCAGCCGCCAGAGCAGGTCAGAGAGCGATGGCGAAGGTGTGTGCACCTTCGGCATCGCTCTGGGACCTTGCGCGGGCTGGGGGCGGGGGAAGCC